GAGATTTAGCCAAGAGCTACTAGATTAACAGATACTAGAATAAAAGATAAAAAAATAATAAATATAAACAGATACAAAACAGAAAAACTTACCAAAAATATACTTATATTTAATAATATTAATAATATTAATAGATGAAGATACATTCTTTACATTCTTAATAATCTTCAATAAGAAAGGATAAGATAAAAATTCCAGTTACTGTTAAATGTGACAATAGTAACATTATTTACATGTGTTCTGAAATAATTAATTTTATGAAAAACTATTTTTTAGAAGCGATATCCCTTCAATAAATTGAAAGAAATCATGTCGAACAAAAAAGAAACTGTTAATTTAATTGTTACAGATTTTAATATTATACTTACTGAAGGAGGAATGTTAAATGATACTCATATTGATGAATTCGAAAAATTATTGAGAAGAGAATCAAATTCTGCTTTTAGCATGCAAAGCACTTTGTATTTATATACGCTTGAATTTATTAGTCCGATTGAAAAAGGTAAAAAGCATATTCAAATAGTTTTTAGTGGACCTATCAAGAAAGGTCATTGGATTTGCACTTATTATGATGGAATGAGACTTTATATTTATGATAGTCTTAATGAAGGATGTTTAAATGAAGATCAAAGGAAATATTTAAGTAGATTATATCCTTTTAAACCTCCAGTAGTTTTCACAACTGTTGATCAACAACCAAACAATAGTTTTGCTTGTGGAATATATGCAATAGCATTCGCAACATCGATATTTTTTAATATTATGCCCCACTCTGTCAATTACTATTATTATAACATGAAAAATTATTTAATGTTAATGTTCAAAAACAATCGTTTAAGTTAATTTCCATCAGTAAGGTCGACTAATATTAGAACTATGACTGTTGAATATAATTGGGAGTGTCTTCTTAGGAATCGAACTAGAGAAAAAAGTTTCCAAAATGAAGAAAATAAAATTGTTGACAATAATTTATCATCGCTGAATTCAACCAGCAATGTTTGTAAAAAAAATTTTGTTGATAGTTTAGAAAATTTGCCTTTAATTCCAGCAAATGATGTTAATAATATTTCTATTGATTCAAGCAATGGAATGAAAGATACAAGATTAATAATAACTGAGAAGCAAGAAGAAAAAAGAGCTATGGTTCATTTTCCTGAAGAAGAAGAAAAATATAAAATCATAAAACGTCAAAAAAAGCTGCTTATCAAAAAAAATATCGACAAAAAAGCGAGAAAATAATAAAATTGTTCGCTCTGAATCATTGGATTCTAATGAATTCATTAGTGCAGAGCAAACTTTAAATACGAGGCCCCAAAGCACATCTACAGCTTTATCATCAGCAGAAGAAAATATTTCTACTTCTAAAGTTAAAATGTCAATTCGTGACAGAAATGTTGCTTACAAGCGCACCTCCCGACAAAATTAACATACTTCTGTTCAAAAACAAAATCAGTCTGATATTATTTCAAAGTCACATATAGAGATAGGTTATTGTAATGAAATGAACATTACACGTGATCGTTCTTATGTAAAACTTTGTGAACATAAAGTTAACAGTGAATTATTTATAAAATCAAAAACTAATGATGATTGTAATGATTCAAGAAATGTTACAAAATATACTAATTTAAAAAATGAAAATCAAGTAAAAAAAAGATCAATAATACGTTCTTTAGAGGAAGAAGAACAACATCAAGTCATGAAACGTCAAAAGAAAGCTGCTTATCAAAGAAAGTTTCGACAAAAAAAAACAAGAGAATAATAGAATTCTCAACCCTCAATCACTTTAAACAAAGGACAGTATTATTACAGTGTCAAAATCAAATATAAATTTAGAAAAATCCTCTACATCTGTTACTACATCTTTGGCAAAAGATAATGTAACTGTTACAGCAAATTTATCAAATACTAATATTTCCGGTCGTCAAAAAAATGTAGCTTATCGAAAAACTCATCGCCAAAAAAACGGGCTTCTGCACAGAATCAAAATTTCTCTGACAGTATTTCAGTCTCGCATATAGAAGAACATTTTGCTGGTGCGATGAACATTTCATGTGAGCATTGTAATGCTAAACATTTCCAAGCAGAAAGAGTATCTAATAAAAAAAACTCATTTCATGATTGTTGTAAACATGGCGAAGTCATTCTTGAAGATCTACCTGCTCATATTATCACTCATATTACAAAATTTATTTGATGGCACCCACGAATTATCTGGAAATCTTCTTCATAATATACGACCTTACAATAATTCATTTGGTTTTGCTTCTTTCAACGCTAACTTAGTTAATTTTAACAATAGACGACCAGGACCATATTGTTTCAAAATACATGGTCAGGTTTATTATCAAATGAATACATCTTTGTATAAAGAAAGAAACGATACTCCTTAATTTGGACAGTTATTTATTGTTGATCAAAACGAAGCTTCCGAAATTCGTTGTAAGAATAATGTTCAATTAAACCGAGATATTGTTGATGGAATTGATACAGCCCTTCGGGATTGTAACCTATTTGCACAGTCCTACCGTATGATGCATGAAGAAATTAAAAAAACAATGACTGAAAATAATGCAGAAATTGAGCCTGAGATGCAATTATTATTTTCATTAAAGCCTGGGATGGATAGTAGACGTTATAATTTACAAAGTGTCAATGAAGTTGCAGCAATTTTTACTACAACTGCTGATGGTGATATTCCAGAATCATATGTTACCGTATATAATAAGAATACAAAAAGTTAACAATATATAAGTTCTATGAATCCCAATGTTGAGCCATGGATATATCCTTTATTTTATCCACATGGAACAAGAGGTTGGGACAAAAATCTGACCTGCGCTAATACAAATAAACGTGTATCAAGAGCTGCATACATCAGGCATAGAATGGCTTCTAGGGACAACAATGTATTTTTAAAGGGTGGTAGATTATTTCAGCAATGGATTGTCGACAGTTATGTGAAAATTGAAAAAGATAGGACAAATTTCTGTCGAAATAATCAAAAGAAACTTCGTGCAGATACTTACGAAGGTCTAATTGATCATTTACAAAGAAGAGCTGATGATTTGAACAATGAAGTTGGGAAAATTGTAATACTTCTATCATCTTTCACAGGTTCTCAGAGAAATATGTTACAGCATTACCAAGATGCAATGGCTATTGTGAGAAAATTTGGTAAACCTGATCTTTTTATTACGATGACGTGTAATCCAAACTGGCGTGAAATAAAGGAAAATTTATTACCTAACCAAACTACCTCTGACAGACCAGATATTGTATCGCGTGTTTTTACCATAAAAAAAAATAAACTTATTAATACTATTGTAAAGGAACAATTATTTGGCGAAGTGATTGCTTATGTGTATGTCATTGAATATCAAAAACGTGAATTGCCGCATATGCATTTATTAGTGACTTTTAAACAAAATTATAAAATAACAACACCCGAGATTGTAGACAAATATATTTCGGCAGAAATTCCAAGTCAATCAGAAAATGTTATACTTCATGACATCGTTATGAAAAATATGATTCATGGCCCATGTGGAAATTGGTGTAAAGATAATAATAGTAAATGTTTGAAAGGTTTCCCAAAGCAATTCTGTTCTGAGACAATAATGGATGAAAACGGATACGCAACGTATCGCCGCCTTAATACAGGACAATACGATCGCCTAAGTGGAGGAACTACAGATAATCAATACGTTGTTCCATACAATCCTACATTACTTCAGTTATTTAATTGTCATATTATTGTAGAAGTAGTTTCAAGTATTAAATCCTTAAAATATTTGTATAAATATATCTTTAAGGGACATGATGCTGCTGCTGTAGTAATTACCGATAGTAGTAATAATACAAGTTCTTTAGAATATGATGAAATAAAAAACTTTATTGAAACTCGATATGTTAGTCCTGTTGAAGCATGTGATAGAATATTTGGTAGACCATTACAGAGTAAAAGTCATTCTATTCTCCGATTACCTGTTCATTTAATTAATCGGCATACTGTAACCATTAGTGAAGAAGCAAATGATGATGCTATAAATGAAGCTTTACAGAAACGGACTATGTTATTAGAATATTTCGATTTAAATAGGCGTGATCCACAAGCTAGACAATATACATATGCAGAAATTCCATGTTATTATGTTTTTAAGAAAGAACGTGGTGAAAATGCATTAAAATGGGTGAAGCGTAAAGGGTCATTTAATGTCATTGGACGGATGTATTCAATTTCGCCCAGTCAATCAGAACTGTTTCATCTTAGATTACTTTTAATATTAGTTAAAGGCGCTACAACTTATGATCATCTGCGAACTGTCAACAATATTGTACATGACACTTTTCGTAGTGCATGTTTAGCATTAGGCCTTATTGAAGATGATGAAGAATGGGAGCGCGCTTTGACAGAAGGAGAAGTATGGATGATGCCACAACAATTAAGACGTTTATTTGTGCGTATTTTAATTTATTGCCATCCAGTTCATCCAAACAAACTTTGGGAAAAGTTTAAAGAGGCTATGTCTGAAGATTATCAGAAAAATTATCCATCTAATGAAGCTCATAAAAAAGAATATAATGATATAATTAACTTTCTGTTGCATGAAGGATCAAATATTCGCAATTTTTTTTGAAATGATACAGTTAAATGAAATAAGTATTGAAACAGAAAATCAAACGAACAACAAAATGTCATTACAACAACATAAAGAGATTGGTGAAATGCAATATGTGAAACTGAATTCCAAACAGAAGGATATTGTTGATGAAGTATTAAATGTAGTTATCCAAGATAAAAGAATACCATCTTCTTCATGTTATTACATTGATGGACTAGGTGGATCCGGAAAAACTTTTGTTTATACAACTTTATACCATTTGTTAAGAAGTAAAGGAAAATGTGTTTGTACTATGGCATTTACAGGCATTGCCGCAATATTACTTCCCCGTGGTAAAACTGTACATAAAACGTTTGGGATGCCTGTTCCATTGTTCTATGATTCTACATCAAATATTAAAAGTCAATCTAAGGAAGCTACATTTTTGAAAGAGGTTGATGTCTTTAATTGGGATGAAGCTCCAATGGCGCCAAGATATGCTATGGAATTAATTGATAGAACATTACGCGATTTTATGAATGTTGATATGCCATTTGGTGGAAAAACTATGCTTTTGGGTGGCGATTTTAGACAATTATTGCCTGTTAAAGTTAATGCTACTAGAAGCGAATTAGTTAATTTATCTATGAAATCTAGCACATTATGGAGTCATTTTAAGGTAATATCATTAACAGAAAATATGAGAATTTTACCTGGTGAAATAGAATTTTCAGAATATTTATTATCAGTTGGAAATGGTACTTTAAATGATAATGATAATAATATACTAGCACCAGAGCAATGTGTAGAGAATGGTGATATCATTCATAAAATATTTGGAGAATTAATTATCAATAAAAAATACGATGCCTTATGAATTACGATTAAGAGCCAATTGTATTGTCATGCTACTTCGAAATCTTAGTATTAATGAAGGTTTTTTTTTTTTTATTGTTTATACTCCTGCCCTATTGGCCTTACGCACTTCGACAAGAGTCCCCGAGAAATACTTTTTTTTTGGATTAAGCATAACCATTCTACTTTAGAAATTTTCTATATATTAACCTAATTTTGCGTCTACAGCCGACTTTATTAGGAGTACTCGCATTACGCCTGGACCACCCGTCAATGGGTTTTCTCGCCAGAGAAGAGGGAAACGGTAGAAAACCTCTCTGAGTACAACCGGTTTATCGGCAGTCGAGTTCTAATGGTGTGACCGGACAATAATCGACGGTGCACATCATTATACCTCGACGTCAAACCTCCCGCTCAGATTGTCTCACGTGCCGGAAAAATACCAAGCCAAGTGGGCGCGAACCAAGGGTTCTTATACCCTTGGTCCTTAAACGACCACCAACGCCAGGCATCTATCCGACTGAGCCAATCTGTCGGTTATTAATAAAGGTTTATGTAATGGAACGCGAATGCAGGTATTAGAACTATCAAACAATCTGCTACGTTGTCGTATGTTAACAGGTGATAAGGTTGGAGATATTGTATTTATAAATCGTATTACGCTGTGTTGTGAGGATATTTATCCTTTACTTTCAAACGACGGCAATTTCCTATAAAATTAGCATTCGCAATGACAATAAATAAAAGCCAAGGACAAATTTTGACAAGATTATTGTAGACCTTCGTAAAAATGTATTTAATCATGGGCAAGTATATGTTGCATTTTCACGAGTTAAATCTTGGGAATCATCAATTATATATTTAGGAAATCAAAGACCTAATTTACTAATCAAGAATTATGTTTACACTGAATTATTTAAATAAAAGTAAATATTTTTTCTATAAAAATGTCTGAGTCGTTATATATTTTTTTTTTTCTTAAAAAAGGAGTGTGTCTCAGTATGGCTGTCTTTACGCGTGAGACTTTCTTCGACGCTTCTTATTGGTAAATTGCGTCATTTTTTTGTAATAAGATTCACACGTAAGATTTCTTTACACGTTTCTTTCTTATCAATTGGTCAAAGACGTTTTAATTTCCTAATTTCAAATAATAGTTCAAACTTCAGATAATTAACACACTTATTTGTACGTATTTTAATGTACTGCCAACCAGTTCATTTAAATGAACTTTGAAAAAAGTTTAAAGATAATATTTCTCAAGATTATTAACGAAATTTTGCATCTCATGAATCTTATAGAAAAGCATATATTGAAATAAATTATTTTCTTCGAAATGACGGAGTACTTACATTTTTTGTATAATATTGACAGAAACCACACTTATATTTCTTTTTTATTAATATTAATTAATCATACTGAATAAATAGTAAGTTTGACTTTTATAAATCGTTTTACATTTCTAAAATTATCTTTACTTTATTCTATATTGTATAAATCCATTTATTTTCACATGCATTTTTTTATAAATATTTCTTTTGTTTTTTTCTGAGATAGAAGTATGATTTAGTAAATTATTTTCAGAGGCCTACAGAACGTAAAGTTAAAAAAAATACCAAAAAATTTATTGGCACTTTTAACTATCAATAATTGAAAGAAGATAAAAAAGCTTCCTCAATATAATATATACCAATTGTTTAATTTTTTATTTTATAATAATTATTTTAAAGTATTAAGATAAAATTTCAAAAAATACAAAATTTCAATTTTTTTAGAAAAATTAAAATATTTATTAACTCTATAAATATTGATAAAATATATACTTTATATACATGAATCGATTCTTTTTTATGTCAGGAATGCAATTTTGACAAGAATTTATTAAAATTTTAATATAGAAAAAAGTTATTTCAAAAAATCCAAAAATTAATTTTTTCAAAAATTAAAAAATTGTTGAAAAAAATTTTTTTTTTATATTTTTGAAAATCCTTCTGTCTGATTTTTGGTATTCGTAACCGTAATACACCTACAAAATTTTATCAAAATTCGTCAAGACGTGTAAGAGAAAATTTGTCCACAAGAATCGGTGACATATACACACATACATACACACATACATCCGGACATTTGTTCCTCTCGACGAATTATATATACTACACTTGAAAATTTGTAAAAATAGTTGATTCTAAAAAATTCGGAAATCGACATCTCTATAAGGCTTCCTTTAAGAAGAAGCAAAAATAAGTAAAGAACTGAGAAAAAAGATGACTTTAAAAAAATAAAGATATATCTCTTGAGTAACAGTGTCGGACAAAAATTTATAGCAAAAGTAGGAACGATTTTAAGAAACAAAAGTAAATTTTTAATTTAATATCCTCTGTTTATGGCTTTCTTTGACAGTAGAGATGTTTTTTTGCTAGCTAAGTGAAAAATAGTTAAAAATTGTTTATTTAGTAACGTTTTTCTTTCATCACTATTTTTTAAAATATAAATTTACTATGGAAGATTTTAAATGTTACAAAATTTAATTAACATATAGATTATTTTGATTATAAAAAGGTTTTCTATAACTTTTATAAGTACTTTTGTTAAAAAAAATTTTAAAATTAAAAAAAGGATTGCGCAAGAGAAAAAACGCGCGCGCGGCAGCGCGCGATCGTTCTCGTTAGAGAAATCGATGATTGAAAATTCTACTTCGCACGGTCCGACTCTTTTTGTAATATCTCGGGAATCCTTAAATATTTTTTGATGTTCTTGGTCTCTATTTAAAGCTTAGGTTACAAGGAATAGTCTGTGAAAGTAACAATTTTTTTCATCAACTTTTCTAAATTTTGCCAGGAGTGAAAGTCAGTGTAAGAAATTCCGAAAAAAATAGAATTATTTTTTTGTCGTCATAACATGATATCTCGCTTCCTATTTATGCAATATGACTTAAAATAGTGGCATTTCTTGGAAATTTAATAAGCTTTCCAATGCAATTTAAAAAAAGCATCTAGCGTCATTTTTAACCGAGTTATCACTGTTTCTGTGTTTTTTAATAGCTCGAGATGTTAGCGTTCGCACAATTTCGGACGGTAGTGTAATTCGATCATGAATATCGAAATTATTGATATTTTAAAACCAAAAATTGTGGAAAATGACATTTTCTCAAATTTTTTGTTTGAAAAATTTTCTTTATTAAACTATTATAACTTTCTTGTAGGGTATTTAAAAATACATTGATTTATCCAAAATTTAATCACTTTTACCATATTTATAAAAAGTTATTCATATATTTCTATTATTATTATCTTCATGAGGAAGCAAAGTGTCAGTGAAATAAGCACAAAAATTATAACAAAAATGTGCAACTTGGCAGCGGTTTTTCTTATTTATCAATTGAATTGTTTATTTCTGCTTTTGAATAAGATTTTTATTACATATTCTTACAAGAATATGAACATTATATGAACAGGAGGCGTTGATATAATAAAAATTAATTTAAAAGAAGACACCATTTGAAAAAGAGATTCTTGAGCCATAAGAAATAGCAATTAACAAATTTTTTAAATTGCGTTTTAACGTATAATGCCAAACTTGAAGTGTTGTGCATCTGATCTTTAAAGGTTGAAGAGTTTTTCTAAAACTTGTTGTTTTTAAAGTCCGTGTCGTCATAACTCAAAATCTATTGGATCAATCGTTCTGAAATTTAATACAGTACTTCTTGCACAAAAAAAATGCGAATGGTAGAAACAACCACATTTGTGTAGTTAGAAAAAAAGTAGTTAAAACTACCATATTCAGCAGCATTTTAACTACACTTCCTCAGTTAGTGGAACCAAAATGAAGTAGTTGGTTTTATGTGGTTAAAATAACTACTTTACGTACGTATTTCTTACTAGTTGCAGAGAAAGAAAGAAATTTACTGTTTTAATATAGTAAAATCAATTGTTAAAAATAGTTATTTTTACTATTTATGCAGTTGAAAAGATCATTTTTTTCTACAGAGAAAAAACGTGAGTGGTAAAAACATCCACATATGTGCAGTTAAAAAAAATAGTTAAAACTACCATATTCAGCAGCATTTTAACTAAACTTCCATAGTTAGTGGAACTAAAATTGAATAGTAGGTTTTATGTAGTTAAAATTACTACTACACGTTATGATTGTGAATAACTCAACAATAGTGCAGTAGTTAAAAGTACTGTTAAAAATAGTTATTTTCGGAATTTCTGTAGTAGAAATAGGGGAATGTAGTCAAGGTTGGCCTACTGTCTAGGTAGGCCACTCGCGTTTTTTTGTCAAGTTCACTAGCGCCACCTACGCGCATTTTTGTCGAAGCTTGTCTTAGTGAAACCTAACTTTTTGTTCAATTACATTTTCGGAAAATCGAAAATTGTGTTTTCTGTGACGTCGGTACAAAAAAAGCTCAAAAAAAGTTTTGTGCATAATGTGAAAAACCATTAATAAAAGATAAAAAACAAATTGAATCGTCAAGGCAAGTATGCAGAAAATTTGTGGGACTCATGGTTGAAAGGAAAACAAAGTAAAAAATCGAATCCCGAAACGTATTTCTTTATGGTTACAACAATTCGGTAATGTTACTTACTGTCAAGGTCGGCCACTATGTGTTTAAAATGCGCAAAGTTGAGGACGAGCTACTTCATTTGCAAAAACTGCAATTCTGTATAACTCATAATATAATTGATCATCTTATTAATATTTTTATTTAATTTTATTAATATTTTAGTGCAAAATTTTTTTTTATTTATATTTACTTTTTTATATTGTTTATTTTTATTATTTTATTATTTCATTAAGTTACAAGCTGTAAACAATAAAGAATCAATTTTCCGTAACTCCAAACATGTTATTTTTTTTTTAACGATTAATGCCCTTTGAATTTTAAACATGGCCGACCTTGACTGTAATGGCCAACCTGGACTACAAATTTTTTTTTTTTTAAATCTTTATAACTTTTTCATTTTTAAACCTGTCAATTTACTTTGTACAGAAAAAATGTTCCTATTAAACAGGACTTTCCAACCATATACTTCAATTGTCCAAATTCATTTTTAAAAAAAAGTTATAAACAAAAGTCAAAAAGGTGGCCGACCTAGACTATGTTCCCCTATCCATTTCTTGCTATTTGCAAAATAAATTAAAATTTACTGTTCCAAAGAGTAAAAACAACCGCTGGAATTTGTTATTTTTGTGTTTAATGTAGTTAAAAGAACCAATTCTTACTAGCTTTTAATAATTTATCTCTATGGTGGTAAGAAACGTTTATTTTTATAACTACAAAAGTCATAAAAGTAACAATTTTTATGTTATTTTTACTATATGAAAATAGTAAGTTTAATTTTTTTATAACTAGTAAAAAGTGGATAATTTTACTACAGAAATTCTGAAAATAACTATTTTCAACAGTACTTTTAACTACTGCACTATCGTTGAGTCATTTAAAATCATATGCTGGCTACATTTCAACTAAGTCCTTGAGCTTAAAAAATTAGTTACTGCAACTAAACGGAGTAGTTATTATGACTGAATCTAAGAAGAATGTCCTCAAGTACAATGCCAGTCATCGTAGCGTGCGAGCGTGGTTAGGTGGTTAGGTTATCGGTTTGCGAATTTTAGGGTCGTGCGTTCAATCCCCGGCGTTTGGGGATTTTTCTCTGTTAGGTGTATAAGAATTTAATATATAAATTATATATGAACAAAAATAGGTAAGAGAAAATATAAAAAATGGACCTCAATAATAATAAAAAACAAATAAATAATTTCATTTTACTACTTTAAATAGTTAATTTAACTATTTTTTACAGTTGTTACAACTACAATTTGTTACGGGCGCCTATAGGAACTATGAAAATTTAGTTACTGCAACTAAATGAAGCAGTTAGTATGACTAACAACAAA